TCGAATAAAACTCGTCCTTTTCGGTCGGTGTTGTCGCAAAAAAACGCAGTTTCCGCTCCGCGCGGCCGAAAACAATTTTATTCGGAAGTTTTCGTCCGTTCGCAGACGTCGTTCGTTTACAAAAATCATTTCGACGTTGGATAACGATCGCCGGTCCCTTTGTCCGGCGAAATTTCGACGGCGATAACGTCGAGGCACGACCGTGCAGCGGGCCTCGACGCGATAAAAATTAATCATATCGATCCACGACGATAGAGAAGGATTCTGTGCGTCGGCGGCAGGCGAATCGTCCTCGGACAAGGCGAGACCGTGGCCAGAGTTATTCGCTCGGGCGAATATTCATGAGTGCGACGCGGAAACTGTACCTTACCGGGCAGATACCTTCACCGATAAATTTCTTTTTAAATGTCCGTACGTGCTTTGATTTAATATCGGCGCTTCTAAATGCAGTCGCTTCGCAGTTCGATACGGCGGAGATCGGATACTCGGGGATGCGCAACGTGGCGCGGATGCTTTATGGCCGGCAGACTCGAATATGCATGCTTTTTGCTCACTAAAGTATTAGGGGAACTTGTGCTTCTTGACCTGATCATTGGTTGGAGATAGAAGAGATAAAATAAAATCGGACAGTAATGTAGTATCTAGAATTTTTAGCGTAGGTTAACTCTCTATAGGCCCGTGTGACTTTGAAGTCACACATCAATGTACTAAGATAAATTGATTATATTTAATTTTTTATTGCAAAGTGACGAATGACATTAAATAATTAATCAACTTAGATTTCTGTACACAGGCGTTTACGTTCAACGTCACTGTATCTTCAAAGTTACAAAATATATGTATTTAACACTAGAACTACCGTACCAGTCAAAATGACTGGTTTCAGTTTTCCTGTTTCGCAATTATTGATATCTTCAAAGCATTGAATATTCGAATTGATTTTGAAAATAGTTTCACTTGAAAACTATAATGAATGTTTAAAGAAACCGAAAATAATCTGTTACTACAATATTCATAGCGATTGCGTTTCAATCGTATCAAATGCTCGGTAGTTCTCGTGTTAAATACATATATTTATTCCTATCTCTCGATTACCCAAGATCCACCCTTTCATTATCTATACTATAGTAACATTATAATAATATACGCGTTTCACCTCTA